ACTGTGCTGTTAGAGAAGACTTTTGAGAGCCCCTTGGACTGCAAGGAAACCCCACCTTTCAGATCCTAAAGGAAATGAGTCCTAAATCTTCATTGGAAGGACTGATGCTGAAGCTGAAACTCCAATCCTTTGGTCACCTGATGTGAAGAACTGACTCGTTGGAAAAGACCCTGATGCTGGGAAAGACTGCAGGCAGGAGGAGACAGGAAGGACAGAGGAGGAGATGGTTTGATGGTATCACCGACTAGAAGGACGTGAGTTTGAGCAAGCTCTGGGAGTAGGTGATGGACAGGGAGCCCTCCATGCTGCCGTCCATGGGGTCGTACAGGGTTGGACATGACTGAGCGACTAAACTGAACTAAATTGGGTGGGGTCCTACTCTATAGTTGGGTGCATCAGACGCCTGATGGACCAGCCTCTAGTATTCAGCTGCCAGTGCTGGCATGTGGGGACGGAGAGGCTCTGGTGACGGCTCTACCCTCTACGCATGACTCAGCAGTATTGCCTTGCTTTCTTGGCTCCCGGTTTCCTCCACAGGCATTTCCCACCACAGTCTCCTCCATCACATCCCCTCGGTCCGCCTCTCAGCAGTCAACAGTAGCCTTTGCTTCGGGATTGCTCCTCAGTCTCTAAGCTCCAGCTCCTAGCTGCTGCTGCGCCTTCTAGGGGCCCTGCATCCCTAGGTACATATGGCTGCGGCAAGGACCGGCTGACCCTCATTGCATCTAGGCTGCCACAGATCAGCTGTTTCATTCTCAGCCTTAACTGTTTCTCCTCTGACTCAGACAGTTGCCCCGATGTGGGGATTGGACCCCTGCTTCAGTTCCCCCACCCACCGAGGGCAGGTCCGGTCCTAATAACACTCCTGTTTTTCCCCCTGGTTCCTTCGTCCTACCGAGTTTTGCGTGGTTCTATATATTCTTTTCCTCTGGTCAGGTCCTCCTGTCTGCTCTCTGCTGGTGTTCTGCATGCGTTTCTGTGTCTGACGGTGTATCCCTGATGTATCCGTGGAGATGTACTCCACATCCCCCTGCTCCTCCACCATCTTGTTCTCTAATAGTTTATTTTTTAGGATAGTTTTGGATATATAGAAAAATCAAGCATATGTTACAAAGAGATCTCATACACCCCACATCCAGTTTCCACTATTATCCACATTTTATAGTAGGATGGTACATTTGAAGTAGTTGGGCTTCCCTGATAGCTCAGGGATTCCGCCTTTGGTGCAGGAGATTCCGATTCAATTCCTGGGTCAGGAAGATCCTCTAGAGAAGGGATAGGCTACCCACTCCAGTGTTCTTGGGCTTCCCTGTGACTCAGCTGGTAAAGAACCCGCCTGCATTGTGTGAGACCGGGTTTGATCCCTGCGTTGGAAAGATCCCCTGGAAAAGGGAGAGACTACCCACTCCAGTATTCAGGCCTGGGGAATTCCATGGACTGTATAGTCCGTGGGGTCACAAAGAGTTGGACACGACTGAGCGACTTTCACTTTCTGTTATAGTTGATGAACTAATACCAATAGATTATTATTAACTAAATTCCATGGCTTATTCAGATTTCCTAAGCTTTACCCGATATCCTTGTTCTGTTCCAGAATTCCTTCTCATGTTTCTCATGTCTCCCTAGGCATCGCTTGCTGTGATAATTTCCCATGCTTTCCTTGTTTTTGATGGCCTCAACAGTTTGAGGAACGTGGCTGAGATACTTTGCAGGATGCTTCTCTATTGGAGTTTAAAATTTTTCTCCTATTTACACTGCAGTTATGAGTTTTGGGGAGGAAGATCACAGAGGTAAAATGCCATTTATGTCACATCATTTCAAGGTACATGTTCTTAATAATATTTACTACCTGACATTGACCTTGATCACCTGGCTGAGGTAGTGTTTGTTAAGTTTTTTTTTCACTGTTAAGTTATTCTTTATTTCTCCTCCTTGTATACTATCTTCTTGGAAGGAAATCACTGTTGCTTAAACTAAAGGAATTGGGCTCTCTCTCCTTGAGTCAGAATATTTACATAAATCTTTTGGGTTTCTTCTACATAGATTTGTCTCTTCTCTCCTATTTATTGATTTCATCATGTACTTATATAGTATGGACTCATGGATATTTATTTTATACTTTGGGTTTTAATCCAGTATTACTTATTTTATTACTTATATTTTCCAGCATTGGCCATTTGAAGTTCTCCACTTGGTTCCTCTGTCCCTTTGACATACTGCTGTCAGTGGAGGTGGAGTTTATTTGTTTTGTGTTATCTCCTTAGCTTCTGGCAAAGCAAGATGCGCCACATTCATCTTGTCAATGTTCTGCTCAGTCCCAGAACCAGCCATTTCTTCCAAAAGCACTGGTTCAGTTCACTGAAGCCTGGTGTCAGAAACCGAAGTAGGTGTGTGCTCACTGTTGTTCTTTGGGGTCCTCTCAGCTGATGAACAGAAAATACATGCGTGTAAACTAACCCATGTATGTGCACATATCTAGACATATTTCTTTATATAACCATCTGTATAGTAAGCTGCATGTGAGCTCATCCTGATGCCTCCAACTCTAATTCATTACCACAGGGATGGTTCTAGTTGGCTACCCTTCCTTATCTATAAATTCACATTCCAGCCATGAGAAACCT